AAAGTGGACGATCTATCGGACAAATCGTCGTTCAAGAACGCGCCCAAGAAGAAATAAGGGGTGAACATTGCACAAAATTGTTTTAAAATGAGTGGGACATTGACATTTGTACAAATATGAATACTAGTATAAGTGAAATAGAGAATACCGCGTGGAGTGGTCCAACCACAGAACCCTAAACCCTATCAACAACTCGAGCTCTTTGATCGACACCCTTGAACTTTAAACGCTTCACGCTTGTACATATGTCTACAAGCCCAAGAGGACGCGCTGTGTGCACCAGCCCCGACACGAGACCACGCATGCATTGGATTCCATCCAAAAATCCACCGACTGGATAGCTTGGATCGATTGGATACGTGATATGTACGACTAGGCAGGCGGCGACGCCAACTGGGCAAAAATGACGTCGCCTGCATCAACATCCGTCTGGCCCAGAGCGGCCGCCATTTCGAGCTTGAATTTGCGCGAGTGGCTCGAGAAGAGCCCGAGCGTCACCTGCTGGCAGACATCGATCGCGGCCGCCAGCTGCTGGACCGAGCCGCGGACGAGCTGGCTGTTGCTCAGCGCAATGCGAACCGGTGTCGGGTTGCGCGCTAGCTTGAGCGACGCCGCGATCTGTCTTGCACCGTCGGCGTCGATCGGAATGTCCCGAAGCGACAGCATCTCGAGGCCAAGCGTCATCCAGTGCGGCAACGCCTGCGCCAGCGCGGTGAGGCCCTTGCGCCCCAGCTTCATGTCGGACCACTCGAGCTTTTGGAGCGAGTTGGACGTGCCGAGCCACTTGGCCAGCATGGGGATGTCGTTCGTTTGCATCGCGAGCTCGCTTAGCGTCACACGACGAAGCTGCGGACATGTGCCCGAGGCCGACACGTCAAGTAGCGAGATGCGCTGGAGCGTGAGCTGCTGCAGCTTGGTGAAGCTCATGAGCGGCTTCCAGATGCCGGGCGGCGCGTCGATGATGCGGCCGATCAGCGTCAGCGACGTCATCTTGGCGCCACTGAGCTTGTGCAGCAGGGCAGTGTCGTTGTGCGCGGCGCCGCGAACGTCCAGCGCCAGCTCCGAGAGCTGGTGCAAGGGCCGAGGCGAGGCAAGAAGGGCGTTGACGACGCCGCGAGCGCCCACAAGCGAGAGCGATGCGAGCGAGTCGCACGAGTAGATGGCGTCGGCCAAGGCTGTCGCGCCCGTCACGTCCGTGCATGCGAGACGGAGCGTTGTGGCGCCGCCGCGACGCAGCCATGCGGCCATCGTCGTTGTGTCCAAGGGGTCCTTGAACTTGATGTCGAGATGAAGCTGCTGGAGGCTCCGGGTCGTGACGGCAGCGACGATCTGCTGGGTGGCCGTGGCGTTCATCGGGTTGAGAATCGAGACGGTGCGAAGGTGCTTGCACTGACGCAATGCGTCGACAACTGCGTCGGGCACGTCGCTGGTTTCATGGAAAGACAGCTCCGTAATGTGATCGTGCCATGCGCGAACCACCGCATGGGTCGCGTCGGTCCACGTACCCGAGGTAGACAGCTTGACGTGGACCGTGCGGGGCAGCGCCGCAACCAAGCAGCGCGGATCGGCCTTGTCAGACGCCTGGATCTGCGGAAAGGCGGGTAGCGCCGATACCGCAATCTCCACGTGGTCGGTCGGAATCGCCTGGAGGACAATGCTCGGCCACTGGGTGGTGAAACTCATGACGCCGCTGAGCTCCTTGAGCGCCACGAGCGAAGGTGGCAGCGCCGTGGATGGCCAAGCATTGAGGAAGGCCAGTGCGTCCCGAGCTGTCGGAATCATCTGGAGCATGTTGATGAGCACTGCGCCGTGGAGGCGAGCCACGGCCGTCGATGCGTCATGATGAGGGCGCTTAGTCGCCATCGCTGTGTTGCTGATCGTCAAAGTACGAAATATTCGAAGTTCGAATCGAATCCAAACTTAGCGAGGAGACGAGCTTTTGCGATTGCCACGTCATTAGTTGGCATCCTATCTATCTATCTATCTATCTATCTATCTATCTATCTATCTATCTATCTATCTATCTATCTATCTATCTATCTATCTATCTATCTATCCTTCTATCTATCTATCTATCTATCTATCTATCTATCTATCTATCTATCTATCTATCTATCTATCTATCTATCTATCTATCTCACAAGGACGACATAAAAGGCTTCGAACCCCTTGCCGTTCGGTGGCGCTTGTCTTGATCTACAGATGCACTTATGCAGCTGTGGCATGATGGCGGACCAACCACAACTTTGACACAGCAGCAGAGGTGGACAGTCACTGACAATCAACAGTGCGGTCATACACATGCACCACACACGACGCAAACGATCATGTCTTTCATATCTTGAAGGATAGCTTACCAAGTTCTTGTGACCGATTCCGCTCCCTGGCAACAACTAAAACGTGAAACACCAGACAGAGGGAGGCCGTACTCCCTAAACACCGGCTAGTGAGTGTACTATGAAGCAGAACGGAAAGTGACAGGTAAGCTACGTCTATCACCTTGTCCCGGCCTAGTGGTGTTGACGTGGGCTAGGTTCACACCCAGTGCCCCACCACTGTATGCGACCAACGGTCACAGTTCTTCAAGAGGTAGGAGCTACAACTCGCGGCGGGTGAGAAGAACACGTCTTCGCGCTCGATGCCGTGGGCCGCAACAAGATCGTCCGTAGCGTGCTCGTCACCCGCGACTCCAAAGGAAATTTCGATGCTGCGGCACAGGGCGAGCGTACTCAGGAGTGCTCGAACGCCTAACCCATCGGGTGAGGGCCACGGCCAGTTGCACGGCGCCCTCGTCGCCCATCTCCATGTTGCTGATGGTGAGATGGTCGAGTTGCCATGAGCCGAGGGAGCGCAGCGGTGGCGATCTTGAATTGGCGCAAACCGACGACGCCGTGAGGACGTCGAGGAACTTGGGCAGCAGCGCAGGCAACCTATCAAGGCTGTCCAGCTCGACGACTTGCAGGTAGTATGGCCAAGCACATTGTCGCCAATGTAGAGTCGATGGCGCAACCCATCAGTTCGTGCTCGCGCCGACGTGGACACGTCAGCTTCGCGCTCCAGTCGGCCCCGTGTAGTTGTACAGCCGCCGCTTCCAAAGCGTCTCGGAGCCACGCAGCTTTTTCAAAATGGCGAGGGCTCTGTCAACATCCCCAACGGGATCATCACGAGACGATCGAGTCTCGTGCTCCATCGTCCTCCATGAGATCGGGGCTGCCTTCGAGGAAGAGGGGTCCGAGACATCGCGACATCGCAATCGCTTTCGCCAGCGACGCTGTTGTCGTCGCGGTTGCAGTGCAGGTGCAGCTTGCGAGCGAACGGTGCTTGGAGCCACTGGACGAGACGCGTCACCGGAAACGGTGTGTGGCGCCGCAGAAAACCTTGTGCACACGCTGGTGTGCGTGCATGACGGCTGCCATGCACATGTCGGCAACGGCCATGTTTCGCAAGTTGACAAACATGTCTTTGCGCACATTGGGGCAGATAGGCATGGATGTGTGCATCCGTGTCCTCCACGTGCGCCTCGTCGCCGTAAAGGGTGCCAATGCGGAGCTGCGGGTCCGCCTTGGCTTGGTACTTGAGGATGCAGACGCTTGTGATGCGCTCGCTCCACGCCATGCCGAACGCAGACGATCTCGTAAATTGAGATCGTCGGCGGCAGAGCGACATACTGCCACCGGGAGTTGATCGATGTTGGCATGCGCAAAGGCTGGGAGGGCTGCGACGCCAAGGTCGGAAGACGCGTTTGGGACCGCGTAGCAATGCAGGCTCGGCCAGTGCCCGACGCGGTCCATGGCCTCACTGAGCTCGTTGAGCGCCGCGAGGGCCGGTGGCAGCTATGATGGCGGCCACGCATGCATGAGAGCAGCGACATCTTCGAGGCGCGGGAGCATGCGCGCGACGTCGGCGAGCGTGGCGCTGTCAATGCGCCTGGCCAACGACGGGTCCTCGCTCGCTGCCGCCATTCTTCTCGCAGACCAGAGAAGTACCGGTAGCTTTCAACACGATTTCATGCTTGAGACGCGGACGCGATACACTGTTTTGTATTCTGTTCTCATGGAGACACTGGATCGAGTGGGTGCTGGATCCAGCCAATCGAAAGCGCTGACGCCATCCGTGGACTTGGAAGATGCGCAACTTGATCGTGCTCGACGAGCGCCGGGCCGCGCTGCCGCCGGGCAACTGGGTCGCACAGAGCGTCGACGCCGCCGAAGACCGCGTGTTTGCCATGACGAGCGATGGCTGCGTGGCCTGTCTCGTCGACAACGAGGTTGTCTGGGACTGTCGCCTCGACAGCGCCGCCGACTGGCTATGGTGCCACTACAACCAAGAGCTCGAGGCCATCGTCTGCGCCTCGCGCAGCGGCGCCATCGTGGCCATTGACGCGAAAGAGCGCGACGTCGAGGTCATCGGCCACTTTGACGCTGGCCTTTGCGCCGTCGCGTGGAACGCCACGGACGACCAGGTCGCGCTCGTTACGGGCGAGAGCCTCTTGATCACGATGAGCACATCGTGGGACGTTTTGCACGAAGGCCTCCTCGATGTGCCAAGCTTGCATGCGGGATCGCTCGTGTCTCTGGCGTGGCGCGCGGACGGCCAGTTCCTCGTCGTGAACGCTGCTGCGCAGATCCAGGTGCTTCGCTTCTTCTACGACGCCGTCACTCATGCTTACTGTAGGTCTGGGAGCAGGCGAATGCGTCCTGGTCGCTGCATGCATTGGGACGCTACGAAGACGGTCGGCCGCTCACGCAGCTCGAGTCGACAATTGCATGGGCCCCAAACCACACGCTCGTCGCAACGAGCCAGATACTCAAGCAGCAACTGCACGTCATCTTCTTTGAACGCAACGGGCTGCGTCACGGCGAATTCCCCGTCGACGCGGCCAGCGTCACGCATCTGCAGTGGAACACGCTCTCGGACGTGCTTGCGCTCGGCGTTATGACAACGGCGGGTCAGCCGATGGTGCAATTCTGGACCCGGAACAACTACCACTGGTACCTCAAGCACGAGCGACGTCTCGATGATGCTATCGCGGCGCTCAGCTGGGACCTCGAGGCGCCGTACACAGTACACGTCCTGCAGCAGGCTGGCACGCTCCGCACGCTGACACTCGAGCCGCTCGTCCACGTCAGCGCGACGGATGCAGCGACCGTCGCCGTCATTGATGGATGCGAGCTCAAGCGCACGTTCTTCCAGAAGGCACCGATCCCGCCGCCCATGTGCGCCAGCGTGCTCTCGTTGCCGGCGCCGATCAACGTTATTGCGTTCGCCAACGACGTTGCCGCGCTCGTCACGTCTTCAGGGTCGTGGCACCTCGTTCTCGACGACCACGTTCGCCCCGTCATGCTCCAAACCGCCGGGTTTACCCAAAGGATGCAGTCGCTTGCGTGGGACGGTGCGTCGTTCTGGGGCGTGCCGGAAGGCGACGCGACGACCCTGTGCATCGTGACGCTCGATCTGACCACCGCGTGTGTTCTCCACACGTCGTCGCTCAAAGCGCCGGGCGATGAGACGTTTGGCACCCTCTCGATGGACGGTCGGGCCGTGCAGCTGTCGTCCGGTGCACGTTTCCATCCAGCGCAAGAAGAATTGGACGAGACGGCCCACCCGCTGTATGCCCACTGGGCGCTGCTCGAGCACGATCTCTGCGTCGGGTCGGCGGGCCACAAACTCTACGTCAACGGCGCTGTGCTGCACGCTTCTGTCGCGTCCTTCCATATCTCGCACGGGTACCTCCTCGCGACGACGCTCGGCGCCCACCCGCAGCTGCACTTTTACCTCCTCGACGAGTTGGTCGATTGCAAGCATACCCCGGTGCACACGCAGCCGGTCGAGCGCGGTGCCAAGCTCGTGGCGACCGTGCCGTCGCGCGCCGACGTCATTCTGCAGATGCCCCGGGGCAACCTCGAGATCCTCTCGCCGCGCCCGCTCGTGCTCCACCTTGTCGCGCAGTGCGTGGCGTCGGCGGCGTATGCGCCGGCGCTGGAGCTGTGTCGCAAGCACCGTGTGGACATGAACCTGCTCGTGGATCTGGATCCGCCAACGTTTCTTGCGAGCATCGAGGCGCTTCTCGAGGCGATCCCGGTGCGCATCCGGAGCGACCGGCTCTGTCTCTTCCTCACCAATTTGCATCCTGTCAACGTCTGCGGCGCCAAATACCCGCTGGACGCGGTCCACCGCATGCCCGAGTCCTGGGACAAGGTGCTCGAGGTACCCGTCTTCAAGTGTCAACGTATCAAGTGGTGTGACATGCGAGACGTAGGTGTGCTCGGCCGTGCGATCGGCGCTTCTCGTGCGGGACGCCGCAATGTACCTTCTGCCGCTACTGACGTGCGAAGCCAAGATGCAGCTCTTCGAACCCGCCTTGCTGCGTCTCCAGGCCGTACGACCTCCGTGGTTCTCCGCGTCGTTCATCGTCTGCTTCTAGCTGCATGCGACGGACAAGGTGCTGGCAGAGAAGGGCTTGAAGCATCTGCTCTTCCTCGTTGACGTCGACGTGCTCTACGACCACGCGCTCGGGTACTTCTTGCCTTGTTTGGATGTCGCCGTGACGCACATGGTAGGCTTTATGATATGGACTTGGCGCGGCTTGTCGCTGGGCGGACCCAGCGCGACCCGCAAGAGTACCTCCCGCAGTTGGCCGCGTGGGAAGCGCTGCAAACGACCAAGTCCATCGCGTATATGAAGTACGTCATTGACGTGAGTTTGAAGCGGTACGCCAAAGCGCTCACCCACCTCACGGCCGACACCGACGCCGCCCTTGCGCTCTCGCTCATCACATCCCATCATCTGTACGAGGACGGCCTCAAGCTCTTTAGCACGACGGCGTCTCCGATTCGGCGGCAAATTCTCGTGGCGTACGGGTCGCATCAAGTGGCGAATGGCGCGTTTGCAAGCGCTGGCCACACGTTCCTCTCGGCGGTGCCGCCGGCGCTCGAGCTGGCCGTGGACGCGTTCCGAAAGGCGTCGGAATGGCGTCTTGCGATGAGCATCGCCGCGCGCATCGACAAGTGCGATCTTCCGTCGCTCGCCTACGAGATGGCCGACGAGCTCTTGAATGCGATGGGGACGACCCGCAACCCGGTCGCGGCCGCCGAGCTGTACATCCACTATTGCCACGACGTTGACGAAGGTGCGTCGATGTCGTGTCCCGCCAATCACGAGGCATCGATGTAGGCGTGGCCACGCTCGTGCAGGCGCGGGAGTGGGGCCTGGCGCTGCAAGCTGCGCAGCTCCACAAGCGACGGGACCTCATCGAGACCGAAGTCGAGCCGCTCGTACCTACCTTCTCGATCCATATCCATCGTCCTACTTCACGGCGTTAGGTGCTGCAAGCCGCCGACGACATGGAGACGGACATTGCAGGACGATTCGCAACGTACAAGAAGCACTGGGTGCGGCTCACGACGTTGCGCGAGCAGATCCGGCTCTTCCGCCTCCACGGGATCGACGGCAAGACCAACGACGGCAACGGCTTGGACGACGGCGCGTCGAGTGCGGCGAGTGCCTTCTCCAACATGAGCATGAGCTCGGTCGGGAGCCACAACAGCAACCGCGACATTTGCTTCGGGACGTCGCTGAGCTTTGAGACATCGTCGCACAGCGCGACGACTAGTCCCTTTTACGCGGCCCTGAGCGCGACCGAGCCCGCGAGCAGCACGAACACAAAGAAGATGCCGCGCCGCTTCCGCCGCACTAAGATCCAAGAAGGCAGCGCGGACGAAGACGCGTACGTCGAGACGAGCCTGCGCGCCGCGATGCCGAACGCCGAGTTCCTCGCGGATCTGCGCCAGCTGCTCACGATGCTCGTGTACTTTGGCCATTCGCCAAGAGCCCAAACCCTCCAAGTGCAGCTCGATGCGTTCTTCCAGCACATTCAGACCCACGTCCCGCCCGCGCCAGTCCACGTACGTCCATTGAAATCCTCTGTGCGTCAGCGAATGTATATCTATATGGATGGCTGTGACTAGGGCGAAAGCACCGTGGTTGCGTGGGCCCGGCCGGACGACGCGACGTGGATGGTGGTGTCGCGACTGCTCTGAGGGCACATTGATGATGAATGGCCGATGGCCGGTTGGCAGAAGGACCTCAATACACTCTACTCATGTCTTTTTGATCCATGGCAACTCTTACTCGCGGAAGCGATCCAAGCAAAACTCCATGACGACGGCGAAGGCCGTGAAGCTCGCGGCGCCCTTGGCCGTGTTGGTGAGAAATACTAGACAGCACTCAAGGGGTTTAGAACTGAGATATCTACATAGTACAAGGACGTACGCTTCGCGGGCTGCTGGCGCGCGGCCCAGGCGCCAAAGATTGCGCCCGACGACGACGCGGCGGCGATCGTGTTGACAACATCGTGCTTGGCCCGCTCACGCTCAATGACGCACTCGATGCCGGCGTAGACGAGGCCCACGGACGCGAATTGCTACCCTTTCATGAGCCGATATGCAAGCGGGGATACGATGCAGTACGCCAGAAAAGTAAATGCTGCGGTGGTAGCCTGCGAGGAAGCTCTTGCGGAAGCCGTGGTAGAGCTGCTCGCGCATGGTGGAGCCAACGAGCTCGCCGTGCGCGCCTTCAAAGGTGCCGAGGAACGTGCCGAGGCCAACGCCCATGACGATGCCCATGCCCGACGACATCATCGCATGCTTCACGCACGACTCGCGCGACTCGAGGATGAACTTGTTGACGGCCTCCATCCCAGGTATTGGCCGATTTCATTGGTCGACGGCGGCGATAAGGCCGTTCTTGACGTTAATTACTACGCATATTTTGTCAAGAAGTCAAGAATACGCCGAGGAGCGTGCTTTCGCCTCACGAGCTGCTCGACGTCCTGTCAATTTACTACCTGCAAGTACGGGTAGTCGTGCAGGCTGAAGAAACGACCTCGTAGTATAGGATACCTTTCTATTCGATGCTGAGAGTGCTACCGGGTACATGACGTGGCAAACGCAGAGGCCTCCATTTTGATTTTGAAGGGTTTCGACCACTTTGCACTTGTCGAAGAGGGCAGAGACACGCCTCGATGGCCGAGGGCTGCTATCGACATACTCGAGATAACGCAGACGCCTCATCGCTTTTCATCAAGGTGTCGCGCTGCCGATGTAGTGGAGCTTTGTGATGTGCTCGCTCTTTCCGTTTATGTCGCAGGAGTTCGCAATGGACGCCACCGTCAACCAGAACAGTATCGCTGTCAATCCACCGTGTACAGATCGCTCTCCAGTTGGTGCCCTCTTTGGCTGGGTCCGTGACATAAAAATGGATCAGGCAAGGGATGCTGCGCGATCCAGGCACGGCTCTTCTACTCCCGTGCGGCGTGGATGTCAACTCGAACGACCCGAAATAAGCGGCGTCCGTCGGCAGTCAACGCAAATAAGAAAATGACAAACCAAGTCCAATACTACGATGGTGGCACTACTACTAAGGGGATCAAATGTACCGGATAGGAACCGATGGTCGCACTTGGTCGTCGGTCGGAACCGATCCAGACGTCGGTGACGGTACCGGAGCCGATGTCGGTGGGGGCGTCGGCATGGCGTCCGACGTCGCTGTCGGTAGTCCTACACGCATCGTCAGCATCAAACGATACAAAACGGGTTCGACATACCCGGTGCCGGCTCGGGAAAGCTGGCGGCAACTTGGAACGTGAGCGCTGCGAGCTGCTTGCTCTTCTTGATCACGTCGTCGGGACTCAATACGGGCGTCGCCACAATGTCCAGGTGCGATTTGTGGGGCTCCATGTTCAGTGGGATCGGAATCGGCGGCGACGGCACCTTCTTTTTGACCGACATGAGCACCGCTTCCATCGTACTCCGAAACTGCGACACGTCTTGCTCCTGGACGACGGCCGGTGGCTTGAGCACGACGGCCGACGTCTTGCGCAACGGCGGTGGCGGAATGCCCCCAAAGGTCGTCGCGGGGTACTTGAGAAGAAGCCCGCTCGTGTGG